TCAATAAATCCCAAATAAACCCTAAAATAATCACTGTGTGGGTTTTAAAAACCCTAATTTTTTTTGAAACTTGATACAAATACATACAAAATAAAAATAAACGAATTAACTGCAAATAATATTCTAAATAGAAACTAAGCTACTCAAATATGATAAATATTTTACTATTAAAATGATGGGAAATTCTGAGAAAGAGGTGGAAGTTGTGACCGTAATGTGTCATAAATTTGTCCATATTTTTCAATTATCTTTAGGCAGGTCCACATCTGATATCTGCTGTACTCAGTGAACTCCTTTAATGTGTCCAAAAGACACACGTGGCAGGTAAAGCGAGCACCAAGTATTTGTTGCTTGGCAGATACCAAGCCACTCGTTCACACTTCTCAGGATTTGATGGGCAGTTGCTCGCTATTCACTGTATACTGGATGTGTGAATCTGCCTTTTCAACAAACACTAATAGTGGTTGATGTTGTTGCAGTGCCTGAGGAGAACATGGCCCATCCAAGGCATGGCACGCAAGTGCTGCAGGGGGAAATGCGAGCTGCCCTATTGGATGGAGACTCCCTGAACTATGACATGGAACGTGGCTACACACGTCATGCCATCAATGAGGTGGGCGACCATGGCATCCTCATCAGGCTAGGCACACAAGCCATTCTCAATCACATGCGGATGCTGCTCTGGGACCGAGACTTAAGGTGAGATAAGCAAGGTGTAAGTTTAGGAAGAGCTCCTTCAGGTCCTGCCTGACAAGAAATGGAGGTTAGGAGGTGAAATTATGTACTTGGCACAAGTGCAAAAAAATATCATTCTGGTGAAAGATACTTCCTTGCCAGTAGTTGAATAAACATGGAACTAATATTAAAAATGTTTTAAACATACGAAAAGTGGTTATTCGAATAAATGAATGGGTTCAAAAGTGCTAATACTTTGTACTCTTTATCCAACGAGAAAACAAAGTGAATGGAACCAATTCCCACATGGGTAGGCAATCGCCGAATGGCTGCAAGTTCACACATTCTACCTTGGCCTTTTTTAATCAGTCATGTAATAAAATTAG